AACCAATGACACCGTTTTGTTCATCTGTGATGAATATCCCTTCGGTATTTACTATCACGCTTCGTGGAATACTGAAATAGTTTCCATCCAAATCTTGATCATATTTACTGTGTAGTTTTCCTTTCAAATCAAAAACATTTAATTGTTCTTTGCTCTTCTCCTTGCATCCCGTCACCAGTCACATAAATCTTTTTATTAAAACATGCGATGCCACGACAATGTATCCGTGTATGGAAGTTTTTTTAAGCTTGGTGTGCATCAGTTGATATAAATTGCACTTTCTTCCATCCTTCTATTCAAATCCTCATTTAATTCTACAAGTGTTCCATCTTCTTTATATTTCTGTATCAAATCAGGTAAAAAATCGATATTTTGACATGATCTGAAAGGGAAAAATATACTGCTTTGTCCGTTGCAAATTTAATCATATTACAATGGAGCATCTGTGGCACATTATCTTGAAGACGTTCTTCATCACAACATATTGACATATTGTCTATTCCTTCTTATCACATTTGATCTGTGGGATTTTTTTTCATTATTTGTTATTTATTATTATTATTATTATTTAATGACTAATAAATGAAGAACGTTGAAAAGTTTTTTTCTCAAATCGGGCCAAACATCAAGCATAAATCTTATTTTTCAATATAACTCTGAGTAGATTTCATTATTATCTTTTGCCTCTAAAACTTTAAGCGTTTTTATTGTTACAGTAACGGTTCAGCAAAATGTTCCCAATGTTTTAATTCAAATGTGTGTTTTTTCATGGAAAGTAAATGTAGTGAAATTTGAAATGATTTTTTTTTATGTTTCAAATATATCCAACTCTGAATTATGTAATCATGCATAATCATGACATTAACTTCTACAACATGCTTGAAATGATAAAACTGAAAGCCTCATACGTTTCCCGGTTTCTCTCATTTTACCACTTTGTTGCCATGGCAACACAACAGAACCAATTAATGTTGTTGGTAGAATGAAAATCTACCTTTTAAAAAAATAAAGACTTACGAACATTTTAAAATGTAATCTTGTTGTTTATTCTTAGTCTTAATAATCGTTATATATCAGTTCACTAGAAATTGGGACTCAATTTTCGTGTACCCCACCCACTTTAGGAATGTCAGAATTCACATTCTTACACAATAAAAATAAAAATAAGGATACAATTAGTAAGTTGTTGATCAGGTATTTGTATAATATGGTAAAAATATTAGTTTTCGCCACTATGCCTCGACTGATAGGAAAAAATGCCAGCCCTATGTCAATTTTTGATACTTTTTCATGCTTTTTTAGCAAAATTTCTCTATGAAAACAAGAGTATATGTATAAGAAAAAGGGAAAGGACCCTTTTTTATATTGTTCCAATAGGATGTGAAGTTTTAACATCACCTGTACCAAAATAAATAGAAAAAAGAACTAATTTTATCATATAAATTGCGTATTAGCCATTTTTCAATAATTTGGCGGCCATCTTGGCGGCCATCTTGGATTTCTCAAAACGTACCATGATTTGACATGTCTACCCAATTTTTTTGTAAACTTCTAACATTTAGCTTTACATTGGTATAACATTTATCCATGGACCTTTTTTGCACACAAAAGGTCCTCTGGGACTGTACTACATGTAATCTCTTCAAAATGAACTTTTAGGTAATCTAGCAGGTGATTTTAGTAATTGTACATGACTTGTATATGTAAATGGAATAAAACAATGCCGCGACAATATAAATGAAATCATATTAAGCAAACAAATTTTCAAGCTTTACTTAATATGCTGGAAAGCTTCCTCATAAAATAAACCATTGTCCCACACGAGGTCCAGGCTACGGATACGACTGCGCCTGACCTTTTTTATGTGACCTTTTTGTTAAATAACTGCTCGCTCATGTCTTTATTGCCCCCAAAAAATGTAATTTCAAAGTTCCAGAGATGAAATATATGATAATTACTAAAGCATAAACGCCTGTGTAAATTTAAATTGTAAATCAATCCATTCCATTTGCAATTACCATATGCAATTTGCAATTACCATATTAGCATATAAAACAAAATAAAACATTGAAGATTTTATAACCTGTATGTATTACTAGTCATTGCGTGCGGCAAAGATTTGCTTTTTGTCTAAAATCATGCTTAGAATAAAATTATTTTTATGCAGACTAAATGGGCGAGCTATGGACTATTTCACATACAGAATTATAATCGAATTACCGATTCTCGGTTTTGTCCTCGTTTGAACTGTGTCATTAGAAAAGGTAGTGTGGATCCGAGTCTTTAAACTGTAAATACTGTTACAAAATTATGCGCGCAATTTCCACAAAAAAGCGCTTCAAATTAACACGACTAGTCTGTCACCAGGTTCTAGAACAACTGAATGTATTAAAATATATTTTGTACAAAGTTGACTGACATCTGTTTTGCGTTGATGTGCATTCTACGACAAGAAACTAATCGGCGGATTGTTGTCTGCGTTAATGCACGTCGACGTGTCTTTTTTCGTAAGTATATACAGGAAGTCTCCAAACAAAGTTGATTAGAACAAAACTAGCTCCTATTCTTACATATGAATCTCTCAAATCAGACAAAGGGTTTCAAGAGACAGATATCTGCATGAAGGCAGTTTTTTAAGCTGCTGGACTTTCATCTGACATAATGTGCTATTTTTCATCTCATCTCTGTAGTTTGCAGTTTATCAAATTATACTTGTATATGGACCAGAATGAGGGTAAAATTTAAGAAATGGTAAAGGAAATTGTTCCATAACCTACAGTAAGCTAATTGTTCTAACTTTACGCGTCCTGGTGGAAATTATGATATTCTGTAAAGCAGTATGCATGCGCAAAACAATCTAAACGCTAAATTGGACTAAGCTAAAGTCGTACAATAATCAACTCCACACTGCCTTGAAACTGAAGATCTCTGGTTCAAATCTCAGTAACTATTGTCAATTGTTTTCATCTTTTTATTTTTTCTTTTGCCACTATTACATATCTAGTACATTATATTTGGAAAAATCGATCAAAACTACACGGTAAAAGTATTTAGTATTTAAGAAAATCAACCAATATACTTGCTGCATACTTTGAAAACAGACCCTCAATTGAGCAAATTTCAGGGATAGTTTGAATTAGGCTCTCTAAGCAGGAAACTAGTCAAACAAGAGTTTTAAATTGGTTTGGTAAGTTTTATTTCCTTTCTCAAACATTAGAAACAATCATTTTGCTTGGGTAGCTTTTAGCCGAATGTTATTTATTGTTTCTGAACAATAAACAATAGGTAAACGTTCTTATAAGGATGCTTATATAGGTTATTCCTCCTAGTATTCAAGCTTTAGTTCAGAAAAGTGTCGTACACCGTCGGTCAATTTTGTTTAAACTGCACAGGTATCCTTTAATTGAGGCATTTAACTGACCTATATGTAGTATGTTGTCAAGTTTTCAGTTCGTTATAGTACACATTAAGTTGGGATAATACCTTAAGAGTTAGGATCAGCCAAATATAACAGACTAAGTACTGTTTACTTATTAATATTATTTAAAGAATGACTAAACGAAATCGCATGTCTCTTAAATAGCATTATAATAGCTATGTTTTGGTTAATTTTGTTTTATATTTATATTTAATATTCATTTTTATTACATGCTTTTCGGTGGTTTATAGAAATATATCAGTGAAATAAAAACTGTTAATTTCACTGTTTTAAACAGTGAAATTATCAATTTGATAATTTCACTGTTTTGAATATTGAGCCCATTACGTTGTTTCAGTGGTGAAATAGAAGCGTTCACAGTACTGGAAACCAACTTAATGACGTGGCATTGTAAATGACGTCACGTTATATTATTATTTGGCGTTAATTATTAGGTTAATATGTCTTTTTAAACGTTTCTTTGCATATAATAAAAAGAAAATTTGTTTAGTTTAATGTAAGATCGAAATATATTTCACCTCGTGAACACCAAAAGTTCATATTTCACTCGTGGCTGCGCCACTCGTGAAATATACCTTTTGGTGCTCACTCGGTGAAATATATTCCGATCTTTCACTGAACTAAACAAATATCCTCTATATAATCAATATTTTTACTTACCTCTGGTGATTCTCTACGTTTTTTAGAGACTCAAAACCCGATTATATCCGGTGTACGGTGTATAGTTAGTAGCACTCAGGGGTGTCACGGCTAGCAAAACTACTTACTGTTTAAACGGTTAACCGGTTGTACATAAATAATGCTTAGACTTGATAAGTTACTAACCTTGGTTGCCAGATATTGAAATATTTCTAACCGGGTTTTGGCCCAAAACCGACCGAACCTTTTAAACGAATAAACGTCAGACCTCTACAGAAGTATCACAGCAGAATAATCGTTAATTCTTACACTCCTCGTGATTTTGTGACTGTACAAAGAAGAAAAAAGCCGGTGTTAAACTGCCAATAAACACTGGCTAGGGACTACATGTATATGCGTCTTTTATTTTTTCTCCCTGTATATTATAGTTAACAAATTCTTGTAACACAACAATAATAAGACAATTTCATTGACATTTTCCGTTATTACAATGTTTTACAACGAAGTTAATACCATTATGTCTAGGTAAGACTTATTAACACACTTTGATCTCATATTCACAGTGGATATGAACTGTGTTTCATCGAAACTTTTCAGTTATAACGCAAATCGTGCATGGGCGATTGACTATGAACAGGTGCCTAAATTATGGACTTACAAAGCACTTAAGACTCGATTTACACGTGATTGCTATTTGAAAGAAATGAATGCTAAATCTATGCACAGTTTCTATGTAGTATTAGTCTGTCAGATAAGTCGGCGAAGCGCCAAATGGAATACTCTACTTTATGCCAATCAGTATTTTTTTGACGATGAAACTCATTTGTTAATTGTGTGTCCGGTATACATATGTATAACGACATAAGATCAATGACGTTTAATGACAAACGATGTATATAACAACATGACAAACACGGGCAAATTAGTATTTCTTATTAATATAATCACCAGAACAAAATAATAAAATTTCTTGTCCAGGAGAGGTCTGTTTTATAATTGGTAATTGACGTTTGAGATGACAATAGTAAAACATGATCATATATTGACCGTCCATTTTCTGTAATGTGATACTGCAATTAACAGATCGAGCAGCAACTTTGATCTCAATTAAATGTTCCTATGTATTGTTCACATTTTATATATTTGTTCATTCATAATAAGGTGACTTATATGTCCAATGGGCGAGTGTTTTATATGTATTATTATCATGTATTTATATTTGATATATACACAATGTCAATATAATCAACAATTTCCATACTTACTGATTACTCACTTGCTTACTTACGGGTAGATAGATCAACACATATATGTCTATATCAATATCACATATTAGTTTTTTCACATTCCTTAGAGTTTTTTAAATGAAATGCTATAAACATATTGATCAGTTAAGAATAGTTAAGTATCATATTTCGCAAAAATTTGAGTTAAATATCTCTAGATAAGGCTTCTTTGATCCAAAGACCAAAAGGCGGCTGTTTTCATTGTCAATGGCAATTGCCTGTGGTGTTGAAATATTGTCATCCTTGTTTAGAATTTCACCCAAGAACTCTCCATTTTTACTAACAACCACAATGTTGTCTGAGCCGCGTCCAGAAATTAAAAGATTCCCGTTTGTGGTAAGACAAATTCCCCACGGGAAAGTAAATCTTGTGGTCTTTAAAATCCATTTCCAGACACCATCAAAATCTAAACAGACGACACTATTTTTTTGACAATCCGTGACAAAGATGTTGTTGGTGTTTACAGTCAAACTTCTCGGAGCACAGAAACGGTTACCATTTGATTTCATCTCAAATTTTGTAAGATGATTTCCCTCTATATCAAATATATTAATTTGTCCAGGCTCTTCTTTGAGAAAACCACCACCAGCCATATATAAATTATTCTCGAAAAAGGCAATACCACGACAATGAAATTTCGCAGAGAAACTACTTTTAAACACTGGATTCTTGGTAAATTCTACCATTTCAACTGTCATTAAAGAAGGCATAGTAAATGCTATCATATGTTTGTCTATGGCACATACCCCCCAAATAAGACATCTTGTGTCATAGGTCATATCCTCATTTAGGTCATTATCCAATAATTTGATTTTTCGTCCATGATAATCTGCTATACAAACATAACCACCTTCTAATACACACATATTTGGGATATCGAATTCGGTGTCAGTGCTAGATACTTTTATAGCACCGAAGCTACACTGATCTGTCAGAAAGGAAGAAAGAGTTTTCACAACTTTGTCAACGTATTTGTTATCATGTGTCATTTTGCAATCATCATTGTTACTTTGAATTTCTCTTAAAGCACGCTTGCAATGTAAGGCTTTCTTATACTCCAGCATTGCATTGTTTTCATTTATTAAGTCTTCTGAGAGAATACTGAGTTTTAACAGTTCTTCTTTCGCTGCCTCCGTAAGTTTTTGTGTACTGCAAATATGTGGTTCGAGTGAATTTTCAATATCCTCCTCAGCTTCAGTCACAGCAGTTTCGATCAATTCAGTTATTGATTCTTTGAATACTTTTAGTCGCCTTATGTTTGTCTTCTTTCTCATTCTGAGCTGGGCGCCATGAATAGCATGTTTTTCATACGAGAGTTTTAACGTTTTCATTCTACTTTTTAAATCTTCATCTAAAATTTCAAGTCCTCCCTCCTCTTTAAATGTACTTGCGACGTCCGGTAAATAACCGATATCTTGACATGATCTGTAATAAGATATATATGCTTAAGTTATTGTCAACCTTGGACATAATGTGGCGGGACAAACAACTAGAAATAAGCGCGCGCTGCGTTATATATTGGCCAAATTTGACGCCCATACAGCCATTTTGTCTTTTTGGTCGTTGTAAAATGGTACTATTATGCGTCTGGTAGAGGAGCATATAGTCACCATCTTGTCCGGATAATAATTTGAAAAGTATTTTAAGAATTTGATTAAAACTTCACACAGTGAAAAAGAGACGATCGAGAAGACGTGCAGTGTTTAAAATACATAAGTCTACTTTGCTCTGTTTTTGAATTAGCTTCATTAAGTTAAAATGCTTGTCCGGAGTATCATTTCTAGATTATAAATGGTATGTTAATGAAACTAGACACAAACTATAGAGAGAAGAACGAGAGTACGCAGTTTCACATAACCATAACCTATAGCTTAGTTATTGAATTATGTCCCTTTAAAAATTATAATACTTAATGATGATTAACCGGAGAAAAGCTTGAAAAAGTATTGAAGGATTTTGATTAGGACTTTACAAAGTAATTGATACATGCAGTGTTAATGAACCTTAATTCTAATTTGCTTGTTATTTTAAGCATCTCCTTTTATGATATTTACAAATGCTTGCCCGAAGAATAGTGAAGGAATTTGATAACAACTTCACACAGTGATAGAGATTAGTAAGAGGAAATACACTGCACCTAACCACCTTGTTATTTTCTTTTTAATTATTTCTTTTTAAAATACATTACTTGAACATTTGAATAATACTTGTCTGGACTAAAACATCTGTTAACAATTATCAATTTAATTTTATTGAAATGTCACACAGTTATAGAGACTATTCAGAGTAAGTGCAGTGTTATGGAACAATAACTCTACATAACTTTGTTTTTCACTTATGTGAAAATATGAAAATTGGCCTACTTTCACTTTGGGCTCTCATAGTGAAAATCAAACATGCAGGCTGACTTTGCGGATCACCTTAAAGTAGGACAAAGTCAGTTATCTCTTGACAAAAGATTAAGGTTTTAACGTTATCCCCAATTTTCATATATAGACAAAGCTCACAATGATAAAAGAAAAAAACATTCCAAAGGCTATGCATTAAGTACTAATATATACCGTTAGTTATGTAAAACTAAAATTTCAATAAAAAAGAATATTTATATCGAACGTGCTAAATGTATAAAGACGGAGTACATTGTATTGTTAGGTTTATGCACATTTCATGAATGGCAAAATCCAGTTTGAAGAATGGTGTAGTGCAAACAGATGCAGACTAATGTTTTTAAATTATTTACATTAAAACTATATTGTTTTCATTAACTTATGGCCGATTCTCGAAAGGGTTGAAACATAAAATGTCTACGTCAATTTACACACATGGACATTAAACATAACAATATGTTACAGAACAAAATATTACAATGCTATCTTACGTAGGATTTTATCCATTTAGCAGTGATTTCAGGTAGTTGCCATTCGCTTTTGATTATATAATTTGATACCATATTCTTTTATACAAGCATTTTCAAAGTATTTTTGTTATGAAATTTAAACAATAATTTTGCAGTAGATATTAAGTTTTATAATCTTTAAATGTGACTTACTTGTGGTCTTTTGCTAGGCAAACACGACAGCAGACGACATCGTGATCACCACAGACCATATCCTCCTCCTTGTCAGTGTGCAAGTCACATTTACTTAAACATGTCGGTACAGACTCTTTTGAAACTTCCTCACATTTAACTAGTGTATGTCCTTTAGTTAAACCAAATTTCTCATGATGGGCCAAACATGTTGAGCAGAAGTACTCGCCACATTCAACACAAAATCTTTTGGCTTCCACAAACCTTTCCTGTTGAGTACAAGGCGTACAATTGTAATCATAAGCTTCCTCGGACGAACACGTCGCCATTTTGTATTTAACATAGTATTGCGAAATAATACATAATATTAACCGTAGATAAAAGCGGTCTATTGATTTTATTACACGCGTTTTATGGCACGCCACATTTGTTTACATGTAGATTCTATACAAGATATTTCATAGAGATAACACAATCTCATTAAAATCATATCCTAACTGTCGCTTCACTACCCTACGCTCGTAGCGGAGAGTAACGGAGCAAAAACGATGATCTGATTTTAATGAGATTGAGAGATAACACAAACGGTTTTCGTTTGACAAGTAAAATATTTGTTGTAATCTTTAAATGGCATAGTATGGAAGCCCTGGAGGGACATTTTAAATAAATATTTAAATCTTAAAACTTATTATTAAACTTTAATTCTTAATATTTAAAATTAAATTTTTAATATTTAATAATTAAATCATATCATTAAAAATGGACGCGGAAAACCATTCCGTTGACGCCACAAGTAGCGGCAGCGAAAATACGAGTAGCGAAGGAAGTAAAGTAAGTTGAACTTTATATACAAGAAAAACTGTTTTAATCACACTAGGACACGCACACGCACTTAATTTCATGGTGAGGACTGTCTTGGGCGGGTTTATTTATTTATTTATTCATTGCAAAAGACAATCCGTCCCAGATGGAAGGGGTTAACGGCCAGAATTGGGCTGAGGGGAATATAAAATAACTTGGTACATTTGTTCACCGCCATGACAAGGTGTGTCGCACGTTAGACACATGCTCAAAGGTCAAGGTTACATTTAGCAGTCTTTTTATCTCAACTATACGAAGTATATGGAGAGCTGTCCTACTCGCCCCGGCGTCGGCGTCCGCTAAAATATTTTTCACTATAACTTTTTCATTTCTTAAAATATTAGCTTCAAACTTCAAAAATATGTTCCTTATCATCAACCACATCTTATATCTCAAGGTTTATAACTGTAGCACCAATATTTTCAGATTTATCTCCCCTTGAACTTAGCAATTTTCCTTACAAAATAATAATTTTTACTGTTACTTCTTTTTTCTATTAAGGGATCAACTTCATACTTCAAAAACATGTTCCTTATAATTAACCACATGTTTTGTGACAAGGTTCATAACTCTAGCACCAATATTGCAAGAATTATCTCCCAATAAACTTAGCTTTTTAATGAAAAATGTTATTTTTTACTATAACTTCTTTAGTTTTAAAGATATCTACAACTTTTTTCTTATCATCAATTACATCTTATGTGACAAGGTTTATAACTCTTGAAGCAATTTTCAGATTTATCTCTAACTTAGGATTTTCTTTAAGAAATATTATAACTTCTTTATTTTTAAGGGATCAACTTCAAACTTCAAATATATATTTCTTATCATTACACACATGTTGTGTGACAAGGTTCATAAATCTAGCATGACTTTTTCCAGAATTATTCCCCCTTGAACTTGGAATTTATGTTAACAAATGTTATTTTTTTACTATAACTTAATACATAATTATAAAAAAATATTTTTCTTCTTTACTGCGTCTAGTATTTTATTAGTCGAGCTTTGCTGTCTCCTGTGACAGCTCTTGTTTATACCTACATTGACTAGTCCATTTTTGATGAACAGATCACAGCGTCTGCTACAAAATAAACATTACAATCAAGCAGGCTGGACATGCTGCCCTTTGGGGATTTAGGTACTGTAAATCTTAAATGAAAAGCCTTGATTTTAAGACGAGTGCTTTTAGGCTATCATCATCCTACCTGGTATGATCATTGATTTGCATTGAAGATTTTCATTACAAGACTTATAGGTTGTAATAGTGTGCTTTTAAATGCCTGCAGTTTGCCAAAAACCTTGCCAACAGGTTGGTAAACAAAACGTTAAGATGTAGATAAAGGGGAACTCCGTACATCCTAGATTATATTCTCGAAACATAAAGTCTTGCTCAATGAAAAGTAAAATGATAAATAAATACAATGTCAAAAAGAATCTACGCTGAACGAAACCTCATTTTACCACAATTTATCAATTTTAGAGGCGTTCTGAAATAAATTCCTTAAACCATTAATTGTACAGCAACAACTCTACATAGATTATAAACATATTTTAACAGCTGATTTTATCGATAATGATTGGGAATGTATAGCTTAAACTTTTAATTTAAGTTATAATATTTTCAAAGATTCTATTATTTATGTTTTGGAGGTTGTTTAGTTTGATATCAGTTATAGAGTATGTCTCCTAGGCCAAAATTGTATGAAATTGGTTGTTAATAAAAGTTCTTATATATTTTAGGCAACTGCTGTGGACAAAGCAGTGCATATAAAATGAAAATGGGATGGCAGAACTACCGGGATGGAAAGTACAGAGTTGATACTGAAGCAAAGGGTGGATAAGCACGCGTGATGTATTACACATTTGGTGAAAGTCTGGCAGTAGAAAGAATAAAATATCAAGCGCTAAGTAACTATTTCCGGACGGAGAAAGTAACGCTGGACAGTGTCGAGGACTACGAACTTGTCATTGGCTTCAGTATCAGGACAAGTGATTGTCAGTTATACTGATGTAGACCACAAAATCTCATGCAGTTTTACAGAGTATTTAAGAGCTAACAGTTTGTATGCCGTCACAGTGCCCATATATACCTGAGATAAAAAAGGAGAACAAAAGTTTCATGATAAATGGAGTCACTGTAGAAAAGGGCGACAGAACTATAACATAAAGTACAGCAAAATTAAGCACTCATTATATTCTGAAGAACAATCTGAAGTATTTGCAATTAATATTACGGTAGCTTTAATGCGTCTGGGAGTCCAGAAAAAGATAATTCATGAAAGTGATCCGTTTGAAAATGGGTATGTGGTTTCTAGAACAGAAGTACAGAACACAGTCTTCCTAGAAAGAGATGGAAACGTTTATAATTGTTCAGAAGTTTCATCGCAGCAACATTTTGTATTGAATGGGCCATATCAAATATTCAGTTTTTAAGTTGATGATAATTGTTTGGTTCTTATAAATTATAATTACATTCATTTAAAAATGGTTGATAAACGGACATTTATTTTGTAGTGGTATCAATCGTTGTTCTGTTTCCATGTGAAATTGTACACAACTGACATATATGCTGTAGCCCTGTGATAATTATAAACATACAAACTAATTGACAATTATAGGTGATGTAATTATTACAAATAATGTTTGCTTCTTAAACACTTTTATCAATGTAAAGGGTTAGTTTTTTTGTACCTGCCAAATGCTCAAACCACATTTGTGGCATATGTTTATTTTAAGTGACAGTTCTTGTTTTATTTAGTAGAAAAATAATCATTTTGTTGAGTTTGGCTAGTTGAGCCTTCAGTTCTCACCCACATGGCAAAACTTGCTATGGTTTTAACTTTTGAAAGTATACCCTTTTATTTTTATGTTGTATGCTGTAGAAAGTTACCCCAAATTGTTATCAATTGGAAATTTGATTTTGTACTTTGATAAGTCACTGTAATAAAAGAGTAAAAGTTGTTACACTGACTTTGCTGCCTTATTTTTAATCGGACTGTAATTATACTTTTTAACAAACAACTATAACCTATCTATACGCCATCAGTAAGGGAAACAAATATTATCATCCATACTTTTCTTGCTGTCATTTGTCTTAAAGTAGCAGTGCATAACTGAATGGTTAACCTGCTGACTGCACTGTAAAATCAGTGAAAATGCTTAATGCTCAGGAAAAACATTAGGAACATTTTCCATTTGATGGAAACAGTTATTTTGCGTAACTTTGGCAACAGTAGCATAAGGGATGATACCAAAGATGTCAAAGTACTGTACTACTATTTTTATCACGGAACATGTGACCAGATAGCAATTTCTTGTAACCAACTGTTTTTTAAAAAAAATCGAAAATGATGGGGTTTCTCGTCATTGTTAATTTCAGCCATTTTAGCTCACGAGAGTTAGATTTTTTTACAATAAACTCAAAATAAACAAAATATAGATGGTTTAAAGCTTGTCACAGACTTAGTGGATCAAACTATAGTTTACAAACGTTTGTTGGCCAGTTTATTTTAAAACAACATTTTAGATGCATAACTATTTGCATTGAAAGCTGTTCAGAAATGAATAGAGCTCTGTGTTTAATTCAATAAAGAGAAAATCTGATATATCTTGATTCCTTTTTAGCTCAGCTTAAAGGTGAGCTACTGCCATTGCCCACTGTGTGTCGTCTGTCGCTGTGCTTCTCAACATTTCCCTTGCGAACACAATACAGGCCACATTTTGTATCCCATCTTCATCAACATTGTTCAAATTGTTTATCTAATTGATTTTCTAGGTCAATTTTTAATCTCATAAACTAGGTCACCAGTTTAAATCAAGGAAAAATATGTAGAACACTTTAAATGATGCATTTCAACTTGAACAACTTAAAAGTTTATGAGAATATTTGTCTGGATAATCTTTAGGTCGAGTTTGAATCGGAGACATATGGGGCAAAAACAGGTCAAATCAAAGAAAAACATTTTGAACACTGCATGTTTTTTTTCAGTTGGAACAACTTGTAACTTTATCATAGGTCATATATGTAGGTCAAAGTTGAAACTTTGTCTTTTGGCGTTAAAAAGCGCTAAAATTTGATCCCTTCTGGAGAGCATTTGGCAAATTTTTAGTACTGCCTACGAAAAGCTCATAATTATGGTTTATTTTCTAATTTCCTACATACGATTTACTTACATTTCTAGCAATGTTTATTCTAAGTCAGATTTGTCATGCAATCATCAATGTAGAATCAGAATGTTTCAAGAGAGGTCTCGTGTTTAAGTTCTTTTATTATTTTTTCCGTTTGATTTATGACCTGTTCTAACAATAAGTAAAGCGAACTCGAGATCAGCCTAGAAATTTTAACTAGCAGTTAAACATAAAAAGCACATACTTCGGAAAACTATGAACATCAATGTTTAAAAGGTCTATATATTATTATCTAATGTTCAATCATCTGGATTTGTTTCATTTTCAATATCCTACAAATCAACAATAACACCATAATCAGTAGAACCTGATAGTTCTAGTACATTTAAAACATTA